CACAGCAAATGCAACAAAAACGCCATGAGCAACAGCAGCAGCATATGTTTAATGTCAATAATGGCAAAAACAACAATTGTTTGAAGAATAACAATAACGGCAAAGCAAACGCCAACACCACCACCACCACCACCACCGCCAACAGCTTTAATACGAATAGCAGCAGCAGCAGCAGCAGCAGCCCACCACCAAACACAGCCATCAATCAATCAATGTTAATAAAAACATCAACGAATACCAAAGAAAATTGCGTTCCCGTGCTAGCTGCAAGCAATCACGTCGAATTGACTGTTGGTGGTTGCTATCCCGCTGCGCTCAATGCGATGGCGCTAACCGTTCCCGCAACTGGCTGTGGTGGCGATGGTGGCCCTTTTAACGTTGGCAATCACCGCCGCCTAGCGCAGGCATGCGAGTACGTCATTGTCAAGCAGCATCGTCACTGTGAGGAGTATTTAGATGGGAATGCGAAGGTATTCGATGTGCTGCCAGCGCATGATGGCTCCGCCAGGAAGGAGGTAAGTTGTTTGTGTGTTTATTTACCGCTGTCATGCTGTCAAAATATTGCGTGCAAAATGCAGGCGCTCATAGATAGTAGTAGACTAGACTCTATTACTGTTATAAATTCTGAGGTTGACGTGCTGTGCTTTTTATTTTTATTTTTGTTTTTATGAGAGAGCGGATAGCGGCATGAAAGGCACTGTGTGTGCTCCTCCTTCACCGAGCGATAACTAGGGCATATGGAAACTCAGAGTAGCACTCGTCTTCTTCCTCATTCCTCGAAACGCTACTATATTTTGGGCCTCAATATATGTATGTAGATTGGCGATGTGCTGCCTATTACGAGGTTTAGTTGGTTTCGATATTCTCCAAAATATTTTGAGTTCGTCTTCGCCTACCTAAAAGCCTTTATCACAGCTTGACTGTCTCTAACCAGGGAGAATTTTGACAGAAGGATGGACATCGCCGTTTATCAAGTTTGCTTCTATTTAAATTGCGTCGATCGAATGATCGATATTAAAATGAGGTGCGCACCGCGACCTAGTGATCTATTGTGCCCTCTACTCTTCACAATACTTCCTCGAAACCTACATAAATCCTTAAAAATAGGAGCAGCACCTTCGCGGGTAGGGTGTGAATGTTCTCAAGCTGTATACACATCGAAACTGCAAATGGCATCACACGCGATGAAGTGGTGTACCACTGGTCGAGTTGCTGGGCCAACATAGACCATTTGACCATATTCCCAGCTGATACAGATGCCCACTTAGTCTGCAGTGTCCTGTAAGGATACTTTTTTAGTATTCTTAGTTTCTCCGTTTGTGCGGTTAATTAAGTTTTGGAATCTGTTATTGTTGTACCCTCCCAGTAGATTCTTTGGCTGGTGTAGTCCTACCGAGCCACTTCAGTTTAAATGCCTTAGTGCGTTCCTCTCCTTTCTGAGCTTTCCCTTTAAGGTATTGGAACCTACTTCCAGCAGTGGCTCGGGGCCAATTGGAGTGATGTCTACTGACTCCCTTGCGAGTTAGTCCGTCGTCTCATTACCCGCTATTCAACTGCGACCGGCTACCCATGCTAACTGGATGTTCTTTTGCCCACCAAGGGAGTTACCCTCAAGGACTAATAATAATGATCCAATTGAACGTTGACTTAAAATTATAATCCCCTCTGTGTGTCATTGGGCCGTATGAATAAAAATAAGCAATTGCTTTTTCTTAAAATTGCAGTTCATTTACTCAATTTATTCAAACAAAATTGAAGTAAAAGGTATGAAATTTTAAGAAAAAGCAATTGCTTAGTTTTTATTCATACGGCCCATTAGCTCGACACACAGATGGTTGGCGTATACCTCTGCCTGAAAATGCTCCAATACTTTCTCATAGGAACAGAGATCCTAGTAGTAATTGCGTAATTATTAATTTAAGAAACCGACAAGTAGTCTAGAAGTCTACAAACATCGATTTTTAAAATCCTGTCATATTCGTTAATGGAGTAATGTTCCATGTTTGTTCCAAAGTGGATCCCTTCTTCTGTTTTTTATTTCGCCGAACTGTGTCTATACCGTTTAAAATCAGTTACAGCTCATCGTTCCGTCATCTGCGGTATTCGTCTTCACTTACGCGCAAAGGCCCTCAGAAGTTTTCATTGTACAAACGCCTTCCACCTAAAGAAACCATTATTTATTGCTATTATAGGAGCCATAATGTCCTGATACCTCTGGCGTGGTCTATTGATGGATGACGCGCCACGCACCCCAGATAGGCGAGCCTGATTCTAGAGAGGGAAAATTCACTTGCGCTAAGCGAAAGTAACAGTGTCTCTACAAATTCAAACCAGAGTTCGAAGGTTCCAAATTCGATGGGCAGATAAACCGATTCATTGTGGCCTGTATGCTCGATTCTGTGCGCCGCTAAACTCCTTAATTACTCAGTGGACTGCCAATACACCATTCGGATATCCGGATATCTGGATTATCTGAATAGTCAACAAATCCGGATAGAGCTCCCATTCCTAGTGTGCGAATTTATTAGCTAGGTATAGGGTGATTCAATAAAACCACAGTTTTTATTTTAAGTATAAATAAAACACAACAAAAAATTCTCGATTTTATTTCTTTTTTTCATCATGTTTTTTAGTATACATATGGCATAGTTTGGGCTGTAGGGTACATTAGATTAGATTGTCGCTTCTGTCTATAAAACACACTTAGGCTCAGGGACCATTGTGTTGCCGCATGTGGGATCAGCAGTTCCCAACCCCTTCTAACGCAATTTTGAGCTTCGCAGGAATTTCAGAAGACCCCTAAATTCCACGAATCTAAGGTCCTCCAAGTTGTCGAAGAATTTCCTACGAAGAGTGGAGGATCTTCGCTTGTATTAACCGGTGCAGAATCGTTTCCTCCTCCTCTTCATCTTGACAGCTTCTAATAATCTAATATTCTTCCCGTAATTGTTTGACAGTTTTGCAGGTAATTTCGTCATGCCATTTGTCGTTCGCTACTTAAGTAAGTCTCTCAGAAATAAGTAGCTTCTAAAATTTTAAGAATATTCCTACTTTGTAATTTGCATCCTCAATTATAAGATTGGTGTCGAGCCGCGCCAGTTCATAGGCCTCTCTTTATTGCAGTGCTCCAGATCCCAAACATACCAGCTTCGGCCGACTACTTCGTGAGGTATTTTATGGCCGCTAAGCTGTCAGTAAATATGTATATATCAACTTGGGATATCATATCACACTTTATCAGTTTTGTGGCCCTGTCGATTGCCATCAGTACCGGATGAAAAACATTTCAGTGGTTCGAAATACGAAAGCTAAGGAAGATTACCAGATGTTCTGTGTATACACCGCTACACACCCAACCGTCGAGCTTTGAGAGCCATCTGCGTTTACATGGATGGACTCGTCACTCTTTACGTCATCTTGTTTCCACTCTTCTCTTGAGGGCCGTAAACGCTTTCCTGGCAGCAATTTTTTTGCCTGAAAATTGGCTCAACTACAGCTGTGTATAGGCAGCGTATTAATTTGGTTTCAATTCCCCATCTTTTTCCTATTAAACTGCTGCATTCATATGGTGCTATCGTTGATGTGCGCACTCTATCTGCAATGCTGGGCCCCCAATTTAGCTTCCTATCGAGTATGAGACCTAGATATTTGGTCTCTTATTTTGCTGCTTGTGAAGCGCGCTAGGCCCTCTTTTCAAAATTCACTCCCAACCCCACTTGACTGCTAAACCATATGGGTACCCCGTCGGCGTTTGTAATTACCTTCCAGCCCATATCGTCGAGTTCTTGAAGGGGGCTGTCTACGGCTATGTTCCACAGAAGCTGTGAAGTTACTCCGCCCCGGGGCTTACCCCTGACTGGGAAACTTTTTATTATTATTTTACCTACTTAATCCTGAGCTTATTTCTCTATCGATATTCATTCATCGGATGTATATCATTTATAAAGCGTATGATTTCATTCTTCAGCTCGGGCATCGTCTCAGGCTTATTGACATAGACTATACTTTTCACGTAGCCGCAGAGAGAGGAGTCCAACGGTGTCAACTCGCAAGGTTTCGGGCGTCATTTGACCTCCATGTTTCGTAAGATAATGCGTCCTGGTAGTTTCGTTCGCAATAGGGTTATTGTTTCATGCGCTGTGTGGCGAGGGCCACTGTCCTGCTTGTTAATAAGTTCCAGTCAGATTCGGTGGAAAAATTTCACAAGATTTCCTCAGGCGAGATTTCAAAGCATCCAATAGAAGCTGAAAAAATGATCAACTACAGTTTTACAGCGCATGACGTCCTCGTATGTACATCAACCAAAGCAATGTTGTTTGCCAGTAGTCAACAATAATTCGGTTTACATTCGACGCAAAATTGGTTGTTGATGTTGAAGTGAGTTGGTAACAGTTACGGACAAACGCGGAAGCCAAGGACATTCGCAACGTTGGCAAAGTCAACAACAAACAAAAGGAAGCGCAACACACAATAGATTGCGAAAACAGCAACGCACTGTAGCTGTCAGTCAAGCAAACAAGTCACGCAATGCCTACTCAACGACCTACAATACGAGTCTAACCGCCAAAAGGCGGCTCAACCACTGATGAGGTTGCCTTGCAGAAGCAAAAAAAAATATAAATGTTGAAATACTTAACTACTCAGGGCAGCCAAGACGAATGCAGGGAAGTACATAGGCAGGCTGGCAACCCGTAAAGCTCAGCAGTCGCATGTATTTAGCATTTCCTTGATTGTTTCGAGCGGCATTTCGCCTGCTGTCATTATGTCGAAAAATTTTCAAATCGTACGCTGTTGCTCAGCTTTCGCTTTTAACTGTTCGCATTACACTTCACACTTTCCGCTTTGGCATTTTTGAAAATGTTAAAGTTTCGTTGCAAAACTTTGCAAAACTTCCTGCGGCACCAACAACTAAACAAACAACAAAGCAACCAACGAACCATTGATGAAGCAGACTTGGCCACTTCAGTCATTTCTTCGCACAAGCAAGCAATTGTGTGTAGTGTTTTTTTGTGTTTTTTTTTGTTTTTGTGCCATATGCAATGACGGCAAGCAATTTGCGATTTGTAAGACATGCAATTCATTTTTAGAGTGTTAAGTGTTGAGTCACGCAACATTTTTACTTACGAAAAACTATGCAATTTTTCAAAGCCAATATTTCCGTTCCACTTTCTTTCTTTCTTTCATGCATGACAACGCAAAACAAAAACACAAACAAACTACAAATTCCAACTACAACTATACAACGATTGTAAATGCAACGCAACCACAACATCGATTCGCGCGGCAAACCAATGAACTGCATATGTACCTCGCACGCACGCACGCACGCATGCATGCACCTACTACTGCTTGGACCCAATATGCATGCAACGGGCTACTCTGCGCACGATGATCCTCTACTCGCCACTCGACCATCCAACAACCGCCGCATCACCACACTCTAACTGTGACCTCATCAACGACGACTCGACGACCTCTTTCAACCAACCAACCAACCAACCACCTAATTCATTAGTGCGAATTGCTACTACGACGCCTAGCTGCCGCCAACTCGAGCAACAGCACCAACAACAACAACAATCAGGCGACTTTCACTACATTTCCAGCCGGCGCATTGCATCGCCCCAGCTCACCGTCGCTCAACCTCAATACACAGGTCTCTTCGCTGTTATCCACGGACAAGGACAGCGGCATGGGCAGTCCGGTGGGTAGTTCGCGTAGCGCGCGGCTACGTCGCCGCAAATACAAATCAGCAGCTACGGTGAGTTGGCTGGCACAGGCGAATACATTGCATCCACGCGTCTCACAGCGCGCTGTCGCCGCTATTAGTGGACTCAACACACAGCTGACCAATGCACATGGTGACAATGGGAAGCACATTGCTGTCATTGAACAGGCATTGGGCGAGGATGGGTTGGGCGTGGATGCGCTGAATGGTTTAGGTGGAGGCGGTGTAGGAGGAGGAGGAGGAGGAGGCGGAGGCGTAAGTGCAAATGAGCGGCTTTTGAAAATTATTCTAGCACAGGATGAAACCATTCATCGTCAGTTGGCACTTCTAAGGTGAGCTTATGCAACTTTATAGATACTTATTGTCATACAGTGAGTCACAAATGTGTGTACGGAAATTGGTTTTGCGAAAGAATTTATCAAATACATACAAATTAACAAAAAAATATATATATTACTATTTAAGTACATATTTACAAAGTATTTAGGTTCTAGATATATTTCACATTTACTGTTTTCTTTCCATAGTGAGAAAGGATTTAAAATGCCGATTCGGACTTTAGAGTGCAGTTTTTGAGGTGTTGTTATTTTTAATATTTTTTAATTTATTATTCTTATTATTATTAAGGGGCTCCCCTGACCTGATGTGGTCTGTTACTGGACAGATCGACGTTTAATCAGCTCAATGAGCGCTGGGCGAAGACCTTGGTATGCAAGGTGGTAAACTTCTTCTGGCCCCAGGTAAACCGGAGACTGTCTGGGGAGCTCTTGAGCCAAAGCAAGCTGCTTCTCTCACTATTTGTGGGAATGCTTACTGGTCACTTCGAGATAGGCAGTCATGCCGTAAGGCTTAACATAATCGATGACCCTCACTGCAACAGCCGCATGGAGGATGATGAGGTGAAATCATCTCAACATCTGCTGCTCTAGTGCCTAGCTTTTGCGAGCCTTAGGTTTAAGCACCTTGCTTTGGAGAATGGACATCGGTCGATTTAANATCAACATCATCTCAACATCTGCTGCTCTAGTGCCTAGCTTTTGCGAGCCTTAGGTNCGCATGGAGGATGATGAGGTGAAATCATCTCAACATCTGCTGCTCTAGTGCCTAGCTTTTGCGAGCCTTAGGTTTAAGCACCTTGCTTTGGAGAATGGACATCGGTCGATTTAAGAGCTTTGTTTCCCCTGCAAAAAGTCATAGATGTCGTCATTCTCCCTTAGCTTTCCCTACCCTCTCACTCACCTTCCGGTCTGCCTGCGTTCTTTTCCTTCCAGACCATGAAATTCTGCGGTAGCTCTTTGGGTCGCTCGGCAGTCTGCCTTCTCATTGTCATCATGTCCTTTATGACTCCACTTCCCCTTCTAATAAAACAGTATTCTTGGCTCCGACATAATGTTGATATATTTCGAGGATGTGCCTCTTTTAAGTCATTCTCTGCCGTAAATTTCTATTGCATGAATCTCATTGATATTGGCACATATTGGCGGGATGCCCATCCCGAAATTCAATTTTTAAATCCCGAACCCGCCCATACCGACGGTTTTCAGAATTGTACCGCGGTACACTAACTAGTAAATAAAACTAAATAAAGTAAGCACTCAATTATCTGGAGTTTTGCGTCTTGTTTGAGTGACAAGTTAAATAAAAAAAAGGAAAATTCTCGGAATATAATTAGGCCCAGACCTTTTAAGGGTTTAAATTGTGTAAAACTTCATCGAAAGTTATTACTGGGATTAATGTACATTTGAGATCAGCTGATTAAGTCATTAAATTTTGATCAATTTTGGCTATTTTTCTTTTGTTTATTTCATGTTTATTTTTTTCATAAAAGTCTAGCTCATTATATAACATACAACATATAAATCCACATTTCAAACTTTGTGCAAAAATTATAAAAAACCTGCATCTGCAAAATTTCAGCTAAATTTCAACTTTTTTTTTTTGATTTTTTAGAATTTTTTTGAGTATGCAGTTTAATAGCCCATTAAATTCCAGGGTAATAATTGAAAGTTTGAAATTGCTAATGGGTCGCGCTGATTAATAATAATTGTTTGATCCAACTGCATTACAAATTTTTTTCCATACAAAATGTATTCGACCGTTGATTTTTGGCAATTGTTTTTCATGCAGTTTCTTCCATACAAAAAAAAAAAATCGAAAATACTTTGTATGGAAAAAATGTGAAATACCTACAACGAAAAAAAATCTCACAAATCAACGCAATTTTTGACTAACTTCAAATTTGCATTTGTATACTAGAATTTAATGGGCTACAAAACTGCATTCTCGAAAAAAATCTGATTAAAAAGTTGAAAATTTGCATGTAAATTTATTGAATTTTCGCGAGTTTGGCACAAAGTTTAGAATTTATATTTTTATGTTTTTTGTTGTAGAATTAACAATACTTTTATAAAAAATTTGCGTAAAAAAAAATTTTAATAAAAATTATTGCATTTATTGTGAAAAATTCTCTGTGCCAGTCTTTTTCCCGCAGGTAACACTAAAAATTTGAAGAGCTTATCTGTAAATAAGGACTAAATTATGCAGCTCTGTGCTTTTAAATTAAAGAATAAGCAACTTTCGTTTTAAAATTTATTTCATTTGAGACTATTTTAAGTAGGGAAGCACACAAAAAAAAGGTTGGTTAAGGCCACTTCTGCTCCCATGGTCTCATACATTCCGCTAGTTTTAATACTAAATATCGATGAAAATTTATGTAAATCACAGAATGACGTCTGATACGATAAAATCTTTGCACTGGAAAATGTATGTACATACATAATTAGAATTGTTGTTTTACATACTAAATTAGTGAAGTGTAAACATACCCTGCCAATTTGCTGCACACTTTTGTGAGTAACAGTACAAATGCGCCCACTCAAAACCACACATTTCTGTATGCTGTTGCATATTTTGTTTATTTATGCCTTGTTTACACATGCATGTTGCTTTTGTTTTTGTAATTTTCTCACTATACATACTTTACTTTTTTGTTTGTTTGTTTGTTCATTTTGTGCTCTACGAACACAAACACACCATCCCACACGGCCGGCTGAACAAACAGAGAGAAGGAACGACAAATTTCTAAAATTGAAGAGGAAAAGCATCGTGTCCGCGAACGCGAATTGGGAAAAAATTACCTGCTGAAACGTACCTGAATGGCTTGGATGAAGCGAATGTGGAGCCCGATTTGGATGTGGGCACCGATGTTGGAGGATTTGCCGATAGTCCACTTAATGAATTCAATGATGTACGCCATGCCGATACCATTGCTGCTGCTACCAATGATGCTGGCGGTGATGGGCATGACAATGACGCTGATGTGGAAATTTTTATAGGTAAGTAATGGTTTTTGTTTCAAAAGAATTTTATAAAATTCGCGTATAAATTGCACGCACTTACATTTTATGATTTATGAAAAAAAGCAAAAGGTGAATTGCAATTACTTTCATTTGTATATGAGCATCCGGCTCAGTAGTTACCTCTGTAAAATCTCTGAATGGTCACTGTGTAGGTACGCTTTCAGCAAATATGGCGCCACATTCAAAATGAATGCGCGTTGACATTGAGTTATTAAAAAGTGTTTTTTCTTCTACATACTTCTTTTTATGCATGTATGAATGTATTCATATAAGTGATGACTTAAATTTGCATATACATACAATGAAATTGTTGCACAACTTTATTACATGTATGTCTGTACATACACATAGTAGGGTGGAGCGAAAAAAATAATTTTACGATATCGAAATTTAAATAGTGCTGAAAAGTCGCGCGACATGATCACATTGAAACGACGTAAAGCGCAAATTTTTACAAATAGTAAACATTAGGACGGGACGAAAAAAATAATTATTCGATTTCAAAATTTAAATAGTGCTGAAAAGTTGCGTGACAAGATCACATTGGACCGATTTAAACCGCAAATATTTACAAATATATGTATGCACATTAGGGTGGGGTGAAAAAACATTTTTCGATTTGAAAATTCGAATAGTTCCGAAAAGTTGCGTGGCATGATCACATTGAACCGCGCTAGTTTATTTTCCGATTGGACAACATTTACGGTAGCCCCAAGAGCCTTAAAGTTTCGAAAACTCTCAAGTTATGGTTCTTTTATACTTTTTCTATTTTCTAAGCAGATTTTGAGTACACGGTTCTGTAGTCCATTAAATTTTAGTGACACGCAGTGTTTCCATACAAAGGTATGGTAGACACTACCAGCAAAAAAAAGTATAATAATGATTTTTTAGCAACTTGAAACTTGCACTCTATTGTGCTAAAACTTAAAGGTCTACAAAATTGTCTGACGCAAAATCTTTCTGAAAACGCTTAAAAAAAATTACAAAATTACCAGAATTTCAGCGATTTTTCGAAACCTTAAAAGTTTTGGAACGACAGTAAAAAATATCCGAGCGGATAACGGTTTAAAACAGTTCAATGTGATCATGTTACGAAAATTTTCTACACTCTAAGAATTTCCAAATCGAAATCGAAAAATTGCTTTTTTCGCTTACCCCCCCTAATGTACATATGTAAATATTTGCAGACGTGATGGAATTCAATGTATAATGAATGAGAAATATCCAGGCACACTACACTGGCTGTTACTAATGCCCTGCGCTGAATTTTTCACAGGAAAGAATTTTAAGAAAAAAAATGCTCGTTTTCAGTACATACATACATACATGTGTATATGTGTATAGTAATTCTTTGTGTCTGGAGCTTAATTTTTTTGCGATAGCCTTTATGTGATTTATGAACTTTTTCTGGGCGTTTGGTTGACAGCTGCAAGTGTCATGTTTTTTTGTTTTTGTTTGAAAAAATACTGACAATCTCTCACATAGTACCTGCAAAAGTTATTAAAGAGCTAATAAACATACAAACATAAATATGTATGTAACTCATCAGCACTTTGCGCTCATCTGAGTGGCAAAGGTGCGAAGCCTGAAAGTTTTATTCAATTTTTTTTTGTCTTTTTTTTTTGTTTTGATTTCGTATGCCTACCAAAGCAAATTTACCTTGGCTTGCATGGCACTTCGATGTTAAAAAAAAACCAACAACAGCTGTGAAGCACATTATAAAAAATGCATGTAGTCAAATAATAAAAGTTTGGTCTATGTTGAACATGTGACAACCTTTGCGAGAAATAAATTAATTTTTTATTTAACTTTCATAGGGGAATTAGAGATGAGGGTTTTTGCAAGCGATTTTTTGAAATCCCCCCAGCCACCCCTTCTCACCAATTTTCGTTGGTATACTAAACGTATTTTTGTCATTCTTAGTAAGTTTTATTTAACAAACATGTTGTTGAAGCATTAGTTACTTTCCATGTATGTATGTATGTATTTTAACATTCAAATTGCCTTATGTTCTAGACATTTGCCTTTGCAGCTCAAAACTCCTCTCAACTTTACTCATGTGAAAAACAAGCAATAGCATAAAGTTTGACGAAGTTAATTTTAACTGCAAAAGTACCAGGAAATGTACTTTAATATGTGTTTAGGGGATATTCCATGCCAATCGGGACATGACTCCGACTCATGATTCAATAATACAAGGTTAGATAATTGTTGACAGCCGCGGTTTGACACTCCCTTACAAAAGCTTGCATTTACGAAGGACAGAGAAAGGGGAAGAATGCAATCCCTTGTTTCGAAAATGGTAGTAGAAAAGTAGGCAATTAATTAAGGTTAAGATTCCGATTTTACTTTGTTTGGATCACCCTAATGTACATAGACGAAATAGATTTTCGCAATCCAACTAAATACGTAGCATATGGCTGTTAGAACGTATTCGAGAAAAAAAATTTCGCCGCACATCTTCGAATTTAAAGCATTTTCGAAACAAAATTTCAAAAAAAAAAAACTTTTTATGGGGGAACGCAGGGGACGTCTTTTTAAATTTTTTCTCATATCTTCGGGATTTATGGTTTGGATCTTAAAGTATGATATATCGATGTTCTTGTCTCAAAGAAACAATTTTTGTGTTTTAAATTTATTTACCTCAAGTACGCCGTTCTAGCACTTACCCACCAGATCTCAGTTCTTATCCACCTAACGTACCACTCTAATGCCAGTAAATTACAGCTAACCAAATTTTTCATTAAACTTTTGCTAAGGAAGTATCTCCATTAAAAGAGTAGTAGTACAACTTAAATAAAAATTTGTAACGCTGAATGTAGGTATCTTCGAAATTTCGAAATTGCCTAGGGAAAGTACTTTATGTAGACTTGGCGGTGTACGAGGAACTTTTTATGTTTGCTTGTAAGGTGGTACGGTCTAATGTCCATATACATATATAAGTATGCATGTATGGTCAATTATCATGCATCAATTGATCAAACAAAATTGTGTTTAAAGTTCTTTTTAAATTGAAAACATTTTGCTGCAGTTTTTGTGGCTTCAATGCCTGAATGAAAAATTATATCGATACGCACAATCCTTGCATATATTTTACATTGCTTTTCGGTTGTTCAGGCAATGATTTTTCAATTGATTTTGCAACTTTTCTACGTACATATATGTATGTTAGTTCTTCTTACTTCACAATGTGTGCAGGCTTATGCAAATATTTAAGTACATATGCACCCCGTTAAACTGCTTTGAATTGCTGGATTTCTACTTTGTGTACTTTTGCTAAACTTTGGAGTTCATTCACAACTGGAATTTTTTGATATCTCGCTGGTTGGATATTAAATTTTACTTGGGTCTATGAAATAAAGCTGAAATTTAGGACGATAAAGTACGACGGCTACGATTTTACGGAATTGAGTCCACTGTATTTCCAATGGCTCCAATTGGCTTCCTCAACTCCTTGCTACCTAGCGATTTACCTGGAAACAGGAAATAGTCAAGACAGGCTGACCGGCGGAGAAATGCTTCCATGTTTTATAGTTTGTTCCAAAAATTTTCCTAGTCAATCTTCAACTTTTTTAGCTTCAGTAGAATTTAAAATTTGTGTGATGCTTCGTAACAAAAAAAAAGTTGGAAGCAGAGCAAAGAGATTGCTTTCTCGCAGACCTTCGATTGGAGGCTATTAAAGCACTGGTTGCTATCAAAATATGTATACTAGTAGCATTAAAAGCTGTAGTAGCTAGCAAGCCAGCCAAACTTTATCACAACATACAAACACGAATACATTAACATATGTTCACTGTAGAGCGCAGTCACATAAATACAATAACACTCACGCTCGCACACAAGGATACGAGGACACAAATTTTGAAAAAACATTTGTGCAAAGCCACAATGCATACATATGTACATACATACATTAGTACACCCACACATATGCGCGCGTGCATACAAATCAACATTCGTGCACACCTGAATGCCAAAGCAATGCAAACAAGCTCAATATATACATATATAAATATCATCAACAAAAAAAAATAATAATAATAAAAAATGGTGTAGACAACAACTGCAAAAGAAAAGTCGCTGAAAATATTTTCACACGGTGGCAGCAATGGCGAAGGATACATATGCCACAAGCTAAACGACAGCTAAAGAGTACGAGCTATTCACATACATAAGTGAGCGAGCGGTATGGCAACGCGTATTAAATATTTGAATGGCAGCAGTAAAATCGTTCGTACAGCAAATCATTTTAATAAACTCTAAAAAAAATTCTGAAATTTTAATACAGAACGCAGTGATGCGTGTTGACTGGTATTGCATGTGTAATCTGGGCGCCACGCGCACCGAGAAGCAAAGCGCTGTGGTAGGTGTGCACTGTGGGATGGCAAACGGGGCGTATACGCATTAAAACGCCAAGAGCAGTCAGCGCTTTAAAATTAGCAAGTTAATATCGTAAAAGTGTGGCGCTGATAGCAACACTACATACATACATACATACATATGCATGCGAGGCGTGGCGAGAAAAGAGGCGTCTCGCTGTGTGCGCGTGAATATATGTATGTGTGTGGACACATGACTGGTGTTGTGGTCTACTTGTAGCGTTTGTGCCGTTTAAGAAGTGCTGATTTTATTTGCACTTTTATTTTATTTCGTGGAATAATTTTCTATAGTATTCTTCCTGTATAAAAAATTTCACAATTAATTTCGAGTGTGCCAATGTTAAAAATGTTAAAATTGGAATTTTTTTTCGCAAATCATCATCAGCTTATTATCAATGTATTTTTTTAAATTTGATTTGTTCTTTTCGATAACAGGAACATTTTCGCTGACAGTTTGAAGTATATTAAACTTATAAAATGAAAAAATCGTTAAGTTTCAAAAAATGACAAAATAGCTGCGAAAGTTATTCTGCATGCTGCCATTTTTTTTTAATTCGGTGGCACACTTTTGAAACTTCCCAGGTACGCTGTATTTGATGCCAACTTTCATTGCCTCTAATATGAACTTACTATTTGAGAACTTCCTAAAGTTGTAAAAAAAATTATTATGTTATGTTATGTTATGTTATGGCACGTTATGCTATGCTATGTTATGTTATGTTAGGCTATGTTATGTTATGACGTAATGCTATTTTATGTTTTTTTATGTTATATTATGTTATGGTATGTCATGTTACTATGTTATGTTATGATGTTAAGTTATGTTGTGTTATGATATGTTATGATGTTCGTTATGTTATGTTATGCTATGTTATGTTATGTTGTGTTATGATGTTATGGTATGTTTTGTTACGTTTTGTTATGATGTTATGTTATGTTATGTTATGTTATGATGTTATGCTATGTTATGTTATGTTGTGTTGTGTATTGTGTTGCATTGTATTGAATTCACTCAATTCACTTCAATACTCAACCAAACTTAACTCGGCTCAGCTCAGCCCACCCTAACTCCCCTTAATTTAAAAGGTTGTATTTCAACCACTGGGCGAACACTAGTATACTGAATACGCCCATGAAGCTAACAGGTTTATACACGCCTGAGCCCTGGATTTATTGAAGGATAATGCTATTCTGGTTGTAATATTATCGCTCTTTTTTCGAAATACTAACATTGTTGGCGTTTTCAAGGAAAGTCTAGTAATCTCCAATTCTTAACCAAAACTCCAACTACAGGTCGTGGGGATATTAGGCTATCGTCATCCTGGAGCTATAAGAATTTACATGCTAATGCTAATTAGGCCAATAGTATAAAATATAAAGGATGTTATTACTTGCATACTCTGAAAAGGCTTTAGCCACCATCAGCCATATGTTTGCTAAACTTTAAGAACCCACCAACTAAAAAAGATCGCCTACGTTTCCATGGAAGATTGTGTTGGCAAGATTGTGTTGGAGACTATGAACTAACTATAATCCATTTGAACCGAAGTTATGAAAAAAACTGTGTCTAGTCACCGCCCATTTAACAGGTACATATTCCGTGCTTTGGGGTCTGACCACTTAAGGCCAAATTATTGGTAAAAGAGTTTGTATACAACTCTTGTCAGGTCGTCGCTGATCTAACACAATTGAAACTGAAGTCGGACTTTCTGTGATCAGTTTCGGGTATATAATTAAGGAAAATGAGCTTTAATTCCTGCCAAGTTAGAAAAAATATACACTCATCTCCTCTGCTTAAAATACACATCAGGGTGGTGGAAGAGAGGTATTTATGTTAATAAAAATATGTGTACAAAGACTATTCCGTGAATTTATTTTAAAAAATGTTTTCTTAGAAGTCTAGAGGTTGATTGGACATATAGGAAAAGCTTAAACATTTCACCTCTTTTATGTACCTAGGATCTGCTTGATATATACATATACATTAGAGTGCATCACTCTCCATACAAAAAAAAATCGTAGTTTTTCCCCTAGGAATTGTATTTAGAACTTATTATATTTTAAGATTTCCGCCAAAATATTTCGGACAAAGACTAAGACTTAGGTGAGCTGGAGCGATTAGAAAATCAATAGAATTCGAGTTTTTTTTATAAATAAAATTAGTTTTTAAATATATTTTTTCCAAAAAAACACCTCAGATGAAAGAAGAGTTTAAGATTAAAATGTCTGCATAAAAATGTTTGAAAATTTTATCAAACAAATGAAAATAATAAAATTTTTGGAGGTATTTTCAACTGGAGCTGGGCGCTCACGTAAACTTTAATATTTTTCCTAAATATTTTGGAAGAAGACTTATATATAATAGATTTTATAATTAAGGTGGAAAAACTGGAAACTTTTTTGTGGATGCACCCTAATGCACATAAGTTTGTACTTTACAGCAACATTTTACTTTGCTTAACTTTGTATGAACATATGCAATAAATATATGTATTCCCTTACTTCTACAAAGCAGCAAGTAAAAAATATTGACATTGCAAAAGACTTGCAAACTGGTACATACATACATATTTACATATGTAAACATATGTAAGTTTTTAAGGAGTGTGCGTATTTATTTACATACGGTGATGTGTGCAGACTGCAATTACAAATAACAACACAAATACATATGTACATATGTATGCATGTACAACTTTCTTACGTGAATATAAACAAAATCACTCATTCGTAAATACGTGAGCATACATAAATTTACTTACTGCATATGTATGTAAAATGCTGCATCCCACCTAACCAAATATGAATTGCTTATACATAAATAATTACATTTAAAAACTTTTTGGGCGAGTACTTGAGAAATTTTTCATGATTTTTTGTTCTTTGAATAATTTCATCTGTGCAAAATGTGTGTAAACACTGCCGACTTCCTTCGGAGAGAAAGCTTGCAATATAAATAATCACATATGAGCCGGTATACACCCTTCCCGAGGTCTAGACAGAAAAATCGATCTAAGCGTGTTTCGTAAAATAGTAAAGCTTATATAATTTTAAAACGAACTTTACCCATATTTGATTGGATTATTTTTATACATAACTATTTCTTTTAATTTCAGTTAATTTAGGAACTACTTAATTTTATTCTTATTTTATTTATGTTATTTTTAAATTTTTAGATTTTTTTGTATTACAAGATTTTTTTTAATTTCATATAATCTTTAGAAAATTAACTTTTTTTGATTTTTAAGTCCACTTTTTTTATTTCATTTTATTTAAACTCTTTGATTTTGTTATTTTTTAGGATCTTAATTTATTTATTTTCCTTTTTGGAATTTTTGCATTGTATTATTCAAAAAGATTTTTGTTTTTAAATTTCATCTAATTTTTAGGAGGTTATTTAAATTTCTTTCTCTTTTATTGTATTAATTTTTCTTACAAATGAAAGTTTTTTTTTTAACTTTTAGATTTTATTGTTAGAAAACCCTGTTTTTTAATATCTTTTAACTTTTAGTTAATTTATGTTTTTTTTATATTGTTTGCTGTTTTAGTTTTTTTTTATAATTTTGTTTTTTTGTTTTTAATGTTTTAAAATAAAACCAATTTTTTTTTTTAAATTTAATTTAACTCACTGAAGCCAATTTAATAAATTTTTTTTTGTTCTAATATTTTTTCTGTTTCAGTAATGTTTTTTTAATATTTAATTTTCTTAAAATTTTAGCTTTTATTGATTTAAAAGAGAAAAATATATATTTCAAATTTCATTTCGTTTTTAAGCACTTATGTTATAATTTTTCTCCTTATTTTTAAAATTTTGTTACTTTTGCATTCCAATTACACAAAAAAAAAGAAACAGTTGCATGTAAATTGCAAGGACTTACGATTTTTTTTCTTTTTTTTAATTAATATTTTTTCTTTTTAGTTTATTATTATTTTTTTGCTATATATTACTTTAAAAGAAGGGTATCTTTGAATTTTCATTTAATTTTTAAGAACTTACCTAATTTTTCTTTCTCTTTTATTGTATAAAGTTTTTATTTAATTTCCTTTCATTTTTAGATTTTATTGTTTTAAAAAGAGGAATATTTTTTTTACATAATTAAATTTTTGGTAAATTATCTGGTTTATCTTCTTTTGATAAAATTTTTTACATTATACATATTATTTAAGAATAAAAATATGTATATTTTTTAATTTCGTTAAATTTTTAGGAATCATTTATTTTTTTCTCTTTTATATGATATTTTTTTCAATTCAATTTTTCCATACATTTTTAGTTTTTGTTGTTTCAACAGGAAAAAGTTATTTTTTTTTTTTATAAAATTTTATTTAACAAAAAACTTATTACTAAAAAACAATCGGAGTAACGCTAAGGCCTCCTTGTTAGAAGATATTTCAATAAGTCTTTCGTAAGATTGAATGGGGCTGTATCTTTCATAGTTTTCTTTCAAAAGACTGTAAATAATTGCCAGAATCCATTGGCGGTTAGTTTAAATGTGCAATTCGGAGAAAAATTGTAAATGAAATGTAAAGATTTAAAGAGTATATTCATGAAATCTCAGCTTGCTGTTAAAAAGCTACACAAAGTGAGCAAATTTTTTGTCTCAGTGTAACTTTGATATATATCACCGGCGTATTTCTGTAAAAGTTTCTTTGATGTGGCAGTAGAGTATAAGTGCGCATACGGATACGCTTACTTTACATGTTCATTAAACTTTTCCCTGCTTATTTTCGCTGCATATTTTTCCACTTTAATTTGCCAAAATAAAATTTTCATTTTTTTTTTTCGCACGCAGATGAACCGTATCACCGCACAGCAAGGACGACTGCGGCGCACACAACCGCAGCACCAACAACTAAAAAGGATATTGTGGCAGGTAAAACAAGGGACTTCAATTTGGATGCACGCCACTCGAAAAAAATGAAAGAAGATTTCACTGGCGGAGGAGGTGGTCTTGCTGTGGTAATGACTGCGGCGAAGACAGATGCAAATGAACCGCTAGCTGCTGCCACCAGCCACGGAAATGAGAAGGAAATAGATGTACAACTCTTTTGGCTGGAAAAGATCTATGCACTTAACAAGCAGCTGCAGCGCGAGGAGGAAATGCTGCTGAAGTTGCATGCAAAAATAAGAAAACATCAGGTGAAGCGCGCCTATCAAACAAAGCGCGAGGTGGTGCAACAAATCGAGAAATTGGATGCAGAGCTGACGTTGCAGTGTTGTGACATACGCGCAGTGGAGAGTAAATTACACGCTTCCAACGAGCAATTGAAACAGAAGTTGGGCGTGTTGGAGCGATTGAGTCAAGAATTTCTGGAGACGATGGACCAAGCAGCGCCCCCAGCGGAGGCTGGAGAGCAAAGTGTAGCCGAAGTGGCAGCTGATGCTGATAGTGAGGCAACTGTTAATCGAATGCCAGATGTAATTAACAATGAAGATCACAATCTTGCAACAGAGATGGCGTTGCATGCCACAGCGACAATGGCGAGGGAGAATAAATTGCAAGAAGCGACCGTTGATGAGTTGCATGCAAAACAGATGACGACGGTGGAGTTTGGTGGACAGCAACAAGGTTGCCAGTTGCAGTCACAAAGAAGTGGCGTAGCCGATGAAGATGTGTGGCATAGACAAAATAATGCCAAGTTGCACTTGCCACATGCAATGCAGTCAGCCACCCAAGCGTTGCATACAGATTTGAATGGCAAAAGTGATTCGAAGGCGTTGGGGGAAGAAAGTGCAGCAGCAGCAGCACCAGCAACAGGAATAGTAACAGCACCATCATCTGCTGAGGACGGAGAAGCAACAAGACCAACAACAGCAGCTGCTAGAGAAGCTGCTGCCATGGCAGCAAGCCACGCATCAGCGGCAGCCTTCAAACTGACAGCGACAGGCTATGCCGTTTCATCGTCAAGTGCAAGAATGACAGCAGCAGCAATAACAACAACAACAAGACCGTTGGCAACAGCAATAAATGCCACAGCAGATGTAACAACAGTCGCCGCAACTGCATGCAA